GTTGTATTAAAAACAAGCTGAAAATGCTTTAACACTGCTTCAGTTGAAGTTTTTTGTTTTTGTTTTGTTTTGTTTTTTGGTACTAGGGATTGAACCCAGGGGTGCTTTAACCACTGAGCCACATCCCCAGGATTTTGTTTTTTTTATATATACAGATAGGGAGGGTCTTGCTGATTTGCTTAGGGACTCCATAAGTCGCTAAGGCTGGTTTTGAATTCTCAATCTTCCTGCATCAGCCTCCTGAGCCCTCTGGGTTTACAGGTGTGCTTCAGTTAAATTCTAAAATAGGGCTGGCCTGCGACTGCTTTAATTGAGCAGATAGAATGATACCTTACCAGTTCCAGGCCTAGCCTCCGAAAGGAGTGGCAGCTTTCGCACTGGAGCCCTGAGCCTGCTGGAGCCAAGTGTTGAGACGCACTGAGACTCTAGAGAGGGAGATGAATTCTGCCGACTTCAGACTTCCAGCTGTCCCTGCCAAGGTGCCAGGAGGCAAGCTCAGCGCCAGCTGAAATCCACTAGCAACCCCAGTGGAAGTGACAAGGAGCAGAAGACTTGCCCAAATTCCTGACCCATAATATGGTGAGATATGATAAAATGTTTTGAACTGCTAAGTTTGGGGATAGTTTGTCATCAAAGAGATATGGGGTAGCAAATTAACCATTTGCCTGATCCTGGCAATGGATTAAAATTAAAAAAAGGAATAACTATGGGCAAAAGAGAATGTGATCCCAAGTAACCCTGGCCAGACTTTGACTTTGTCCAGTTCCGAGTGCCTCTCTCGGGGCTCTGCCAGTTCTTTCATGTCTTCACGTTTGTTATGCAGCAATAGAAAGCAGAACCACTGGGAGAATAAGAAACCTCTAGATCTAAATAGAAATGAGGCTTTTCAGAAAATCACCTTTGTGTTTCTTGAATTGGGATCATCCTTTGAGAATTATTTGAAATGATGAGCTGAAGGACTGACACCAGCTTTGGAGCTGAAGGCATATAAAACAAAGCTGCCTTATTAGTGAACTTTGCAGCTTTTCCAGGTATCTAATTACCCCTCACTCTGGAATAGTTGTTAAAAGAGTTTTATCTTTTTACAGCCTCCTTCCCCAGACATCTTTTAACTTCAAGTTGGATCTGTACTAAGGCCTTTTTATGGTCTGACTCTGTCATCGTCTTTAACGTGACTGTTAATTTCACAAGGAACAGTATTGAAGCCCCTCCCCGACTCCGGCTCCCTCTTCTCTCTCCTCTTGGACTCAAAGCAACCTATGAACCTTGTGACTTATGGCATTCAAAAAAATCCATTTTAGTTTTTTCATTTTTAATAATGGTCAGCTGTTCATATATTTGGGGGAAAAGTTCATTCATTTTAGAGGTATATGGCCTTAGCATTAAAAAATTATTTTACGGATAAAGCTGGACAGGGGTCAAAATTTGTTCCTAAATTTCTTCATTATTTTTCTAAAATTTCTGCTTTATCATTTTCAAAAGAGACTAAGGATGTAAAATCAATGATAAATTTAAAAAAGAAATTTGAGGAGAAATTAAGAAAAAGGTTAAACTGAGACAAGCTCATAGTTGAACAAGGAAAGCTCATCCATTCTGGTTCAAATCATGTACTTTCTCTGTCTTGTTTATTTTAGTCAGATTAAAAACTGATAGTGAGAAAACTGAAACTTTTCTTTGATCTTATAGCATTCTCTGATCATTGAGTGATTAATGAAGTAATAAAGAAATTCTATAGAACTCTGATGTATAGTTTCATTATTTTCCCTCAAACAACTCAAGATGAGAAATAATTATTGTATTTTAAAAATATCATATAAGATTATGGGAACTTTTTTCCCCGGGTCATAATTTGACAGACAATGAAAGCAGGAATTTCACAAATAGCAAATTGTTTGGTAACAGGTTCCAATTTCCCTCTTTTGACTCTTTTAAGAAAAAAGAAAAGATTTTCTTTTTTTAGTAGACTATCATGCAACCAAATGAAGACTCAAAACAAATGGTATCTTATCTTGAGGAGTTAAGTGTGAATGATTCATTCTGTAGCATGAAAGCTTTTGAAATAGAAATGTCAAGTAGATTGCCTACATACAGGTCCCAAAGCTTAGAGTCAATGCCAAATGAAACAAAAGGGTCAAAAATGGATGTAGGGAGCAAAGAATGATGGGTTTATTACCAGGGAAAAACCTCCTGGATTAAGACTGATTTTTGTGGGGCTGGAATTTTAAAGTGGTTCAACTCCTTGATCTAAAAGTCAGACCCCAAGTCTTAATGAGGTAGATTTTTGGCATTCTATTATTTTCCTTTTCCTAATGAAGAATGACTCACATTTCATTTGGTACACAAGGGATGGATGTGATGGAACACACAGCTCATTTTCCCTCCTGCCTGGCATGGGGAGAGCAGGAGGTGTGGGTGACCTAGCCTGCCCCTCCCTCATACTGATGGGATTCCACTGAGGCTGGTTGAAGTTTAGCAAGAAGATCCTCTGAGATTCCCTGAGGAAGAAAGAGGGAGCAGAAGAAAAGTTTGAGGAGCCAGCCTGGGCCTGTGTGTGTGTGTGTGTGTGGGGTGGGAGTGATGAATATTTTCCCCAGCTTATTGCTGTATTCATTCTTTTAAACTTTTTTCTGAATGTCTACCATTTGTTTAAGTTCAGGAGGTTTTTCTTTTCCAGAGGTCAAAAGATTATTAGTTTATTTTCTTCTACAGCTTTATGGTTTGAATTTTTACATGTTTGAGTGGTCACTTGGCAGAATGCAGGCGTGGAGAACACCAGCTGCCCTGGTCATGGATAAGAAGTAACCAAAAAGTAAACTGAGACCATTTGTGAAACAAATAATAAAACCACACATTCCTTGATGCTAGAAATAAAAAAAGAGAGAGAAGGAAGATGGCCTGCATTTGATTACTGGCATCAAGGCTTGCGATCCATGTGGACTTGGTTAACCTCTTTTGACCCCAGCTTCCCTCTCTGTAAACGATAGCACATATCACAGTTAAATCAAATAATATCTGTTAAGTTTTTAAGGAGGGCCTCCTACTTAATACTCAATAAATGAAATTTATTATACATATTATTATTGATAGAAAGCACCATGTAAAACTTGATATGCTTTTTTTTTTTGTCATATAGCTAAATAGCACTACTTGTAAAAGAAGCCATCCTGTCTTCATTGTAATCAAAGTTACTTGAGCCTGTATTATATTCCTGTGTACTCTAACACCTATTTCTGGCTTTCCCATTGGTTTTTCGTACTATTTGCATCTATACTACATTGTTTTAAATATTGTAGCTTTATAATATTTAATGGTATTATATAGGAAGAACATAGGTGTAGACACGGTTCTTTTTGCCAAATGTCATGATAGTTTTCTTATTCCTTTTCCCCACATGGCTTTTAGAGTTATATTAAAAATTTAAGTTGGATATGGTAATGAGAATACATCTCTAAATATACACTTTGATAAATATAGGAAAATTTTACTTGTATCAGCAATGTAATGGATATAATTTAAAGCCTTTGATTTTTAGGTAATAGAATACTCTGGAAGGCATCTTTGCACACAACTATAATACCAACACTTGATAATTATGTACTTTGAGTGAAAATAGAAATGATATTGGGATGCTGGGGATAGGAACATCAAAGTGAGAATTTATTAGTGAATCAAATGCAGGTCATCAGTACTTTTAGGGAAATGGTCACTATACTGTGGTCACTATACTGTGGTCTCCTGTGGTATATGTGTTTTAAATGAAGTAGCCTTAAAACCTGATATACATCTCGGGTTTTCTCACAAATCACAGCAATTCTTACTGATAGGTAATGAAATTCTCTCTGATCTTTAACTATTGCAGTGGGACTATTTTTCTGGATAGTACTAATGAATTTTAAAACTACCAATGGAATTTTTTGATGTGTTTTAATTACAACAAATAAATGCATTAAAAATACTAAACATTTTATTTATTTTTGCTTCAACTATTATAGCCATAAATTTATGAATAGAATATCAAAGTTTGTAACTACCAATGGAATGAGTAATTTTACATTTTAACTGCATTTTTCATTCTAAAATTAATTATAAATGATGAATGGCAGAATATCTGTGTAAACACTTGAATGTTTTTTAAGAGTGGCCTTTTATTTCTATTGTGCCGGGGACTCAGGTTCTCTGATAAAGTGCTGGTCAGGGATATGAGCTGGAAAACATTGAAATCTCTTCTAAATTGTACATGTGGCTAGTTGTATGTATAAACCAATTATTTACAAGACATTATATACATTGTATAACATTATTTGAAGTATAAAAGAGCTCTATGGAATGTGTTATGAAGTTCCTAACTTCATTATTTTATAAGTCCTGCTGTGAAAATTTGAAAGTGAAGTAAATACCATCTGGAAGTTCTCAGAATTCAGAAGGCATCTTTAAAGAACTCTTTATGGCCATGTGTGAGGGATTCTAAAAAGACTTAGATGCGTGGTGGATTTTTCATTTGGATAAAGGATACTGCTATTGGTATCTTCTTTTTTAAATTATGAGATATTTTAGGCATTCAAAAAGAGCATGAAGAAGGATATAACAGTACTATATATTTACCACTTAGTTCAAACGATCAATCCTTACAAATATAACTGAATAGTATGTTTGTTTTTATAGTAATAAAATCATTAGTTTAAAATGAATTTACATGTGCTAGGGAATCACCTTTTCACAAACTTTATTCCATAATAGATTCTTTTCTGTTGTGGTTGCCTTAAAGATGTCAACTACATATTGTTGGCAAATTGCTCCAAGTACATGTTGCCCGAGCCACAGCTGACTAATACCCAGCAAATGTGTGAAGCAATTCTAAACAGCAGAGGAAAGGTTGTTAACGTTTTAATTTATTTGAAACTAGTAAACAACTCTTCTGGATACCAACTCTCTTGGCTTTTCTTTTCGAGAAAAATGCCTTTCTAAACCCAACTGAAGAACAAAAGGAAAGACCGTGTTACCTGTCGACACTGAGAGCGCAGAGATTGAGGACGGTGATTCCCACTGAGGACTTCTGCAAAAAGGGGAACAGCTTGCAAAGAAAGACGCCAAAGTCATTGTGGTCAAAAGGCCAGCGCCCGGCCAGCAGCTGAAAAGAGATGTGGGAGTTAGAAGTGGCAAAGCTGGCACTTATATTTCTAATCACATGTACCGACTTCTAAATTTTATTCTTTATTTTACTTTCCGGTAGAGTATCACTAGCATTATTTTTTCTTTTGTGTTTTAAAAACTTAACAATTTCTGGTCTGGAAAGATAGACTATAATATGTTAGCACATAATTATTAAAATATATTAAATATAAATATATTAACATACTTAATAAATAATATACTCAAGTGCAACATATTATATAAAATATGTATTATAGATAATTACCTTATAGATGATCTATAATTACCTATAATCATCTATAATAACCTTATAGATAATATAATGTAATAACAGAAGAGAAAAACTTTTGCTCTCAGATGAAGGAGTCATGCTGCCTATTTTTCAAGAAATGGCAAAAGTTTGGGGGTTTGGGGTAACAGCTTCACTGAGAAGCAGGCAGAGGTCTCTTAGGAAACCTTATTAAGCCATGAGGAAAACAAGTAATTTCAACCAGTGACATTGGAAGATATTATCTCCCGACAAATAGCCAAAGCAAAAATGACCAGTTAGGAAAAATACTGGGAAAATAAAGTGTCTTTGGACATGGAGACTTTGCCAGCTGGTTAGGACCAAAACTTAACTTCCCATCAGTGCTTAAGGGGATGACTGCTTCATAAATTTGATCCAAGTGGCTTTCTATTTAGGATTCAATTTCTCCTTATCCTATAGGAAAGTGTGGTCACTGTGATTTGTTTAAAGGAAAATCTACTCTTTCATGCTGACCATTTAAAATCTTGGTCCCAAGGCAAGGGTGCCACTCTCTAGTGGCTGTGGTAACAGGAACATAGTAGCTAGCCAACTGTCCCCTGTGACTTGCTGATATTTATCTAGCTAGGTATTATACTAGGAACATGGGCTTAAATAATTTCTGTTACCTGAAAGGAGGAGGGACATCCCTGCTGAATATAGGATGACTTTTCTTTTTTTTTTATTGGTTGCTCAAAACATTACAATGATCTTGACATATCATATTTCATACATTTGATTCAAGTGGGGTATGAATTCTCATTTTTACCACGTGTACAGATTGCAGGATCACATTGGTTATACATCCACATTTATACATACTGCCATACTAGTGTCTGTTGTATTCTGCTGCCTTTCCTATCCCCTTCCTATCCCCCCTCCCCCCCCCCCCCCTCCCCTCCCCTCCCCTCCCCTCCCATCATCTCTCTCTACCCTATCTACTGTAATTCATTTCTCTTTTTTTCCCCTTTCCCCTCACATCCTCTTATATGTAATTTTGTATAAGAATGCGGGTCTCCTTCCATTTCCATGCAATTCCCCTTCTCTCTCCCATTCCCTCCCACCTTTCGTCCCTGCTTAATGGTGATCTTCTTCTCATGCTCTTCTTCCTTGCTCTGTTTTGAGTCGCCCTCCTTATATCAAAGAAGACATTCGGAATTTGTTTTTTAGGGATTGGCTAACTTCACTTAGCATAATCTGCTCTAATGCCATCCATTTCCCTGCAAATACCATTATTTTTTATTTTTTAGTGCTGAGTAATATTCCATTGTGTACAAATGCCACATTTTTTTTTTTATCCATTCATCTATTGACGGGCATCTAGGTTGGTTCCACATTCTAGCTATTGTGAATTGTGCTGCTATGAACATTGATGTAGCTGTATCCTTACAGTATGCTCTTTTTAGGTCTCGGGGAATAGTCCAAGAAGGGGAATAGCTGGGTCGAATGGTGGTTCCATTCCCAGCTTTCCAAGGAATCTTCATATTGCTTTCCAAATTGGCCGCATCAATTTGCAGTCCCACCAGCAATGTACAAGTGTACCCTTTTCCCCACATCCTCGCCAGCACTTGTGGTTGTTTGACTTCATAATGGCTGCCAATCTTACTGGAGTGAGATGGTATCTTAGGGTGGTTTTAATTTGCATTTCTCTGATTGGTAGAGATGGTGAGCATGTTTTCGTGTATTTGTTGATTGATTGTGTATAGGATGACTTTTCAAAGGTAAAAATGGTATTGATTTCCTTTCTGATTTTTCCTCAGTGACTCAGCATTTAAATTTGCTGTATTGAGTAAGAAAGAGTATCCTACTAACTTGACAAATAACCCTTTTTTTTTGGCAAAGTTGACCTTGAATTTCTGTTCTACCATTTCTGAAAGATTATGTGAGGTTTAGTTTCATGGTCAGTGTGGTCATTAACACGAGCCCATTGAAAGAGGTTGGAAAACCAGTAGCCCACAGATACAAAATCACAAGCTTAAGCATTTGACGTAGTAGCATAGGGCTTTCTATAATTCTGATATTATGGCTAAGAACACATATACCTTAATTTCAGAGATGTTCCCCTTTTTGATTTTCCAAAAGGTTTTCCTTTCTTTTGAATATTTTTCTGAAAGAAACTTCTCCTTCAGTTAATTGCTTCTGGTCTCTTCCTCATCTCACTATAACTGGTCTCAATTGGTATATTCTCAGAATTTCCACATAAGCTTTTGTCCAAGGACAACTACCAGGCTCTTTATAGAAACATTGCCCTAACTTCTGAGGGTTTTCATGAAGTTAATAAACAATTATAACACTGGTGACTGCTGGTTATTAATGCCTAGTGCAATAAGAAACAAGACACAATTTCTGGGATGAATCACTCCTATAAAGACAAGAAAACTTGAAAAAAAATGACATTTTTTGAAAACAGAATAAGAGTTTAGTATTTTGGCCCAGAACTATAATTTTCCACTGAAGACCACAGAAATGTAATTAGAATGTGTAGGAATTGTTGTGGGGTATTCTTTAGAAAAATTGAAATGGTACTGTTGGCTCACTCCCAGAGACTAAGAGGATTGTGAAATCCACATGGATGAATTTCCCAATTTACACATCCAATAATGAGGGAGAGAAAAAAGGATGTGTCTTTCATAATAAGGGAGACTCTGAAATCTGTGAAGGTCTAAGTGTCAAGTGCTAGGAAAAACCATAACTGAACATGGATTGTTTCATATTCTTCCAACCTCAATTAAATTTCTTCCATTTTCATGTTTCTTTTAACTTTTAATAATAGTTAGGTTGGGGTTAGGCATAAAGAAATGTCACTAAAACACATCAGGGAACTAGAGAGCAGCAAAAAGATGGTGGGATTGCCTTTCTTTGATGAAATAGATGTGGTGGTGGTGGGAGGGTTATTTTTATTTTCCCAGGAGTGCATTGATTCTCCTTGGGAATTATAGACAAAGAGCATATGAAATCAATCCCTGAAGGGAATTTTTAGGTGAAATCATACTACACTAACCTAACTTAAATCCCCTTCATTCTGCAAGGACAGTAACTGATCCAATTCCTCCAGGAGAATATTAGGCCCCTCCATAAGCAACACTTTTTCCTCTCTGTGCCCTTTTCATCAGGGAGTCCCTCTCTGGTTAAGTGCAGTTTCCCCAACAAGGCCCTCTGCTACAGTTTAGATTGTCAGTGTTCCTCCAACAGCCCACGGCAGTATTGGGAGATGGTGGAACCTGTCAAAGACTGGGGGCCTAGTGCAGGAAGTTAGATCACTGGAGGTGTGCCCTTGAAGGGAATAATGGGACCCTGGGCCTTCTTTCCTTTCTCTTTGCTTGTCCACTGTCACCAGTTTGCTTCTGCCATGTATTCCCACCACAATGGGCTGCCTTGCTACAGGCTCAAAAGCATCAGGGCCAATGACCATGGAGAACCTCCAAAACTGTGAGTCAAAATAAACCTTTCCATGTGTGTGTGTGTAGGTTATTGAGGATTAAACCCAGGAGTGCTCTACCACTGAGCTATACCCTTAACCCTTTTCACTTTTAAATTTTGAGACAGGGTCTTTCGAAGTTGCCCAGGCTTACCTTGAATGTGTGAATCTTCCTTACAGGTATGTGTCAGCACACCTGGCAATTTTTCCTTTTGCTAAGTTGGTTATCTCAGTTGTTTTGTTATAGTAATGGAATACTAACACACCTCATTTGACTATTCAATCTTAAGTAAGATGTGTTTGTTAATATCTTTCATAGAATCAGTGTTGGAGCAATCTTATATTTGAAGTCTCTTTTCAGTTTATTCTGTTTCAACAATAACACAAATATAAAAGAAGGGTGGACATCATGGAGGCAAACAGTGTAGCTTACCTATTTTTCTCTTAATTAGAAGAGGCATTTTGGAGCTTCTAAGACTACTGGAATGCATCCTTTCCATTATTTGCTACACTTAACATGGAAAATATTTAAAGTGGGAAAAATTAAGCTGTATAAAAATTTATATCGTGAAAGTATATCTCTCTATTAAGGCCCTGAAACTTACTGCCCCATGGTAACCACTGTTAATTGCCAAGTGTTTTCTTTCAGAAAACTTCCTATGCATAATAAGAATATATGCATTTTTTAAAACAAGTGGGAACATATGGAAATAATACTTTTTAACATTGATTATGTCTTTTTCTTAGAGTCATTTTATGGGAAGCACTACTACCTATTAAAAAGTTTCAATTTTAAAAAGTTCATTGATAAAACAATTAAGATACGAATTCATAAGTTACTATTTGAGGTCATGTCTAGACCATGGCAACCAACTAGTTAATTTCATTATTATCAATTTAATGAAAGAAAAAGCTTGTCTGACAAACTGTCACGTCAAATTGGTTATTCTGGCACCTTAGAGTAGTCATGGCTTATTTTTGCCATAAAAGATATAGCCTTCATACTTGTCTTTCCAAGGATGTCATGTAGTACCCTGCACACAGTAGGTGTTAAATAAATTGATAATTCTGATTCACAAATGACCATTGGACCAGTGCTTATTAACCATGGTAATTTTACCCCAAGAGACACTTGCAAATGCCTGATACACTTTTGTTTCTTACAATTAGGAGGAGTACTATGACATCTGGGGGTTAGAGGCTAGGGATACTGCTAAACATCTTGCAGTATAGAGGAAGGCTCCCCAACAATTAACCATTCAACCCCAAACGT